GAAGTCAGTGCCATCACGCTCATAAAAAATAGATCAAAGAATGAATCAGTCCCATAGTGGATTTAGAGTAAAATCATATGAGGGAATGAATTTGAAAGCCCTGATAATATAACAAATTGTCTGTTTCTCTTTGAGGTAGGTCTTTTTCTTTGAATATGATAATGAAATATCCTGTGTGAGGAGTGGATCTTGTGGATAAATATTGATGGCAAATAATTAGTGTTTGAAACACTGTGGAGCGTGGCAGTGAGTTCAGGTTCCTTGGTGGCTTTTGTGCCTTCAAAAAATAAGGGGGATTTCTGTCAGGCAACAGCTTTGTGGTGTTTCCTATTGCCATCAAAGCCTGTAAAATACCTGTAAATTCTCTACTTTATTAAAAATCAGTCCCATCAAACCCAGCCAGCTCCTTGAATGACTCCTGGGCTGTGGTGGCAAAGGGGAGCAGCCAGGCCAGTGGTTTATGGCAAACAAAAAAACCCCAACCCAACAACCAAAACCCCAAACTTAGAGCACCAGAAAGTTCCCACTTTGGGATAAAGTTGAAATCCATATCAGCATGGTCCAGGAATTCAGAAGCTGTGCAGAGCTGCCTAATTGTCAGTGGGCACTTTGGAGGGAGCCCCAGTGAAGTGGAAGAATTGGAAATCAGTGAGGTGACGTGATAATCATGGTATTGACTGACACGTGGAGCTGTGTCCTGGGGATCTTCTGCTCTGGGAAACACCATTTTAATACAGAGATTTAAATGCTCCTATTTAAGGAGCCCATGGTGGATTAGCAGCAAATGAAAAGGATATGATATTGAAAAAGTGTGGTGTGCCAGCTAAATTTGTCCAAGTAATTAAAATAGGTTTGTGAATATAAAGATAAGAATGGGAGTGATATTTTCAGGATTTCTTCTCTACTATGATTTTAATAATTGGATATGGATGTAACTTTGGACTTCAATATTCCTAATTTTTAAAAATATGACACCTTTTTCTTTGAACTTGATATGGCAGTTACAAAATATCACCACAGCTTGTTTGTTCTACTCTAATTCAAATCTGAATCCAAGGATCAAGAAACGGTGTTGTTTTTCTCATCTAGACACCTGAACTCTTCTACCCCCTTTGCTATTTTTTCTGAGATCCTTTTAAAGAAGAAATAAGTATCTGTAATAAGATAAAGGAATCCTTGTTCAGGTGGGAGCAGATGGAGCCTTGTGTATAAAGAACAGATTTAGATTCTACTTTCACATCCTGCTCCATTAGCTGGTTACAGTTTTTTATATTCCCTCCACTTTTCAAGGTATGATTTGATAGCTGCTAAATGAAGGTGATAATGAACAGTGCTAATATTTAAATGACACCATTAATATTTGGTGTATTGGACAAAAAAGCAGGTATATTGGAGTTCATAGCCAGCCAGATGAAGAAAAGCAAGTTTAAACTTCTTTTTCCCCTCCTCCCTTCCATCCTGTCCATCTGGGCCATTTGTCTTCCTAGTTGGGAAGTCAGCAGCACAGACAGCAATGCATTCTCTTGAAGGCTGGGAAAATGGCTTGGCAAGCTTCATGTTACCTTCTGTTAAACAATTTGATTTCTTCTTAATTTTTGTTTGCCTGTTTGCTTTTTTAACAGCCCTAGAAGTGTGAGCGAGTGCTGGAACCCATGGAAGGTCCTTTAGACTTGGGCTGCTTTATTCAGCCTTCTGTATTTCTGTGTTTCCTCAGGCTGGAACACTCTGATTTCAGAAATGTCTTTGGATGTTAGAAAGTGCCTCTTGCTCCTTTTCTTTGCCTTGCTGTTGCCATAGTATCCCTATCAGTGCTATGGCACAAATGACAGGCAACGTACAGCTATGACTTTATAAATAGGATTTCTGGAAGAACAACACTTTCCTCACAACATAAGATATTCTACTCTATATCCAAGCAGCAAACTTGTGTCATGTTGGGATTTTTTTTTCTCCTTAAAGGCCTACAGCTCTGGAATAGAGATTTAAAAGTGTTACTAGAAATATTTTGAAAGAAAAGAAAAAAATTTTAAAAATAGTGTATTGTGCAGAAGTTCAAGCATTGAAATCCATTGTTGGTTGTGTTTTCCTGCTAAACTAACACTATTGCATGTCCTTTAGCCACTCAGGAAAGTCTGTGACAGCAAAAGACACCACAAAAAGTGATGTTAGCATTTATGTGATGTGGGTTATAAGTGTGCTCTGCTGTTTTTTTCATGCTTTGAAGTATTTTCTTTACTATGACACAAAAATAATTCCAGTAGAGTGGTTCAAACTCGGTTTAAAGTAAGTAAAAAAATGCATAATAATGTAATGAATGCCAAGTTCCACCCTGCAGTGTTCCCTACAAAACTCTTTGAGTCCTGCTGTTGTTATTTTATCATCCCTGGAAGCTCCACTGCAGATGAAAGTGGGGTTAAAGACTTATAATTTAGTTTGAATATAAAGTATCTCCTGGTATGATCCCAACTTTCAGAAGTAATTCAGAAATATTGTTGATGAACTCTTTAGATTGTTGCATTTATGTACTCATCTTCATATTGCTTTGTAAAGATAAATTATTTTTAATGTATTTATTTGGAAGATTTATATACCTGTTTATACAATATTTTTAGATCATAATCATTTATAAGCAATACTTGCAGCAATATTGCCATAAGAGAATTTGAGATAGGGGCTAGAATTTGGTTTATATTTATGGTTGGTGTGGTTTTGGTTTTTTTGTTTTTTTTTTTTAATTTCCTCTCCTCAGAAATGTAAATTTAAGATATTATTCTATAAACATCCAGGTTTGAAGGGTTTTTTACCCCTGTTGTATTATTTTTCATTTTAATTTGCAATAGAGAGGAAGAAGTGACAAAATAGTTCCTTCTAGTATGCACAAAACATGCAACCATTCTGGGTCTTTTTTTGTTTTTTTTTTTTTTTAAGAGTCAGCATTTAAATATCAACTTTTCATTATAACCCATATATTTTTATTTGTGTTTTCCATAGGAAATAATGCAAATATATTTATTTCAGTAATAATGGATACAAAGATGTGCTTTCCTGAAATCAGGGCTCTCTGCAGGTTGAATGCCCGTGGGCAATTGCTTCAGTGGGGTGACAATTGCTGGAGCTGGATTTAAAGAGATAAAAGACAGTTAATAAATAAAATTATAACAGGCAAACTAATGCACTTGTACACTATCACCAAGTTATTCATTAGGCTCACACTGCTACCATGGAGTTACCATAATGACAACCAGGAGCTGCTGATGACTTCCTTATTTGCATATTTAGAATATTATAATATCATGGTTTATAAAAGGCTCTTGGTGCTTCACTCTGGAGCCCTGGTTGGTGCTGCTTTGTGTATTGTGAATCCCTGAAGTCCAGTGAAAAACCAGGGAATTCCTGAAATGCCATCCCCTTCTCCCCATATCAGGATTCCCTCCAGGTTCACTGAATTACTGAGAGAGCAAAGCCTTTTCCCATAAATGGAGACCTGCACCATTGGAATTTTATTTCATGTAGAATCATGAAAACTGCATCATTTTCTCCTTTTGTATAATCCCAAAGGCAGAAACTGCTGTCCAGCTGCCTGGTGCTGATGTGGGGATCCACCTTGCACATGGGCTTGGAATGTTCTCTATCTGTCACTGGTCTCCAACCCAATGTGTTTAAATGGAATAGCAATATTAATTGTTCCTAATGTGTTTCACTGCAAAATCGAAGGGTTTGGTCTAAATTACCCTGCAAGGGGCACTGCTGAAAGGCAGCAACAAGGGCTGGAGGCAATTACTGGCATCAGTAATTTCTTCAACCACTGCAACTTGATCTGCAGAAGGAAATCAGTCTATGCTATGACAGGGAGAAGGAAATGAGAAGAGACAGGAAACAAAATCAGACTTTTACCTGCACAGTGAAAAGAATGTAGATGTGTTAGCACAGGTGTATTTGAGACAGATTCTAACGTGATGGCAGTTAAGATTTCATTTACGAGAAAAATCACTTTACACAGAACTATTGAACATTTACCTTAGAGAAATGCTATCCTAGCAGATCCTAAATTCTGGAATGGCAGAGTTATGTAAAGATTAGGCAAATATTCTATTGATGGAGTTCAAGAGAGTGATTTATGCCTTAAAAAGTCTTGGCTGTGTAGCTGTATGCAGCTACACAGATATCTGTGTGTACCTCTGAGTTCTCCTATTCCACTTCCATCTTTCTTGAGGTTGTCCACAACCTCAAGGAGGGAATAAATTGTTCTTCAGAAATCAGCTTGGAAATTGCAGATATTTCCTCTGTGCAGAACCAGTTTGCATCTCCCTTTAAAGGTATTGGTGTTCCAGGGTATTATAAAGAGGCATCACCAAATTTAAAATTATATTAAATTTCTTACAGTTCACTAGACAGATTTCCACACATTGTTGGCTGAAGTTAACCAGACTCCATTTAGATAATAACATTTTCTTGCCAGTTTAAGTTCCTGAATTAAAAATACCCAGATTTCTTTGTTGTTGTCAACAAACATTACACAATTTTGTCAGTGCAAAACTTGGGGGGAGAATTAAGACAAGTGTTCTTCTATTCCCATGTCTAAGCAAGAAGTATAAAAAGATCTGGTTCTCAGCAGATGGTTGCTTGCAAACTTCTTGCCTACTTTTTCCTTAGGGGGAAAAAAAAAAAAAAAATGAGGACAATGTGGCAGAGAGATCAAAGGAAGAGATTTTCCTAAGGAGCAAAGGAAAATCTCATGCTGGAAATAGGGGATTCCTGTCCTTATTTCTTCATTCAATGTGATCCAACCTTAAAATTCTTACCTCAGTGTTTACTTAAGAGTTTCAAGTAAAAAGTTGTGCAAGAAATTTTATACATATTTAGGAAGGATTGGGTCAAATGTGACATTACTGATGAGGGTCCCGAAGGGTTCATGTGGTTGGTGTAGGAAAGGAGCTCTCTATCCCTTTAGGAACAATATTCTGTGACTTTTAAAGGATTTTTCCTTTCCCTTTTCCCAGCTACTCCTGGCATTCTACACGGATACTCATTAGTCATTCTGGAGATGGACTTGCTGTCTGGAACCTACCTCTTGGCAGTCTTGTTGGCCTGCATCGTGTTCCAATCTGGCGCACAGGAGAAGAATTACACCGTGCGGGAAGAACTGCCCGAAAATGTCCTCATTGGCAACCTGCTCAAGGATCTCAACCTAACGCTGGACCCAGACGTGCCCCTGTCCTCCCCCCTGCAGTTCAAGCTGGTGTACAAAACTGGGGATGTGCCCCTGGTGAGGGTGGAGGAGAACACGGGGGAGATCTTCACGGCCGCCAACCGCATCGACCGCGAGAAGCTGTGCGCCGGCATCCTCAGCGAGAGCCGCTGCTTCTACGAGGTGGAGGTGGCTGTGCTGCCCGACGAGGTCTTCAGGCTGGTCAAGATCAGGTTCCTGATCGAGGATATAAATGACAACGCCCCCCTTTTCCCCTCGACAGTAATTAATATCTCTATCCCTGAGAACACAGCCATCAATTCCCGCTACTCTGTCCCGTCTGCCATCGACCCGGACATCGGGGTGAACGGGATCCAGCACTATGAGCTCCTCAAGGTGGGTTTCTTTCATCTTTCTCTGTTTTTGTCTGTGTTGCTGTCCTCTCACGAGTGTTGCCAGTCCTCACCAAGCCATCAGAACCCCAGGGCTGTGTGCTGCACGCAGGAACAGAAACCCAAAGCTGTGAAGTGCAGTTGTGGCACAGAGCTGGTCCGTGTGACAATGTGAACGTGTAGCCCTGAGTGCATTCCAGTGCATCCTATCCTCACTCCGTGGGAAGGTGTTTGTGTGCATGTGTAACAGTGTGATGGAAGAGCCACCTGTCCCTGAGCTCTGCATTCAAAGTGTTTGTGCACTTAGGCTGAGTCTTCTTGGACTATTGAGAATGTGTCCTGATTGCCACTGACATGGCAGTGCTGAGTGCAGAAGTGTTTATGGGTTTATGTCTCCCATTTTTATGGAGACATTCTTTTTTTATGCCTCTCTTGCACGACTGTGGGACCTGAGCAGTAGAACTTGGCCCAGAAGTGGATGTGATGCTCATCTGTGTATTGATGAGCTGCTCCAGAGGGAAGGAGTCTGTTTGTAATGGCTGGGCAGGAGCAGCTCCAAGATGGGCATGAATCAAGGAGAGCAGTGCCAGTGACCTTGTAAGAGCAGATATTTCATAGTCTTGCTTCTTTTATTCTTTCTAGCAAGTTACAGGGGAACTGGGATTAGGAAACAGAAGAATAACATAAACATGTGATGTTTATATAAACAAGAGTGTGTGATTGCTAAAGAAATGATCACTTTCATTTGAATTTGCTGAAACAAGCTTAAGAACAGTCAAGAAACTTACCCTGAAACTCTTGGGGGGAAATTGAAATTGTCCTCACTTCCTTTGATTTGGAATGGGGAACTGTTTTGTGGTTTGGCTACTCAGCAACAAATCTGACCCTCCTTACTGCCAGAGAATATAGATTATATTATCCAATATATTGCTTGACTGACTGGATAGCTGATGTTCACTGATATCAGTACTTACTGGCAATTTAATAAAAATAAAGCTCTGCCTTCTTTTAGCTTTTTAAAATCACCTGGAGCCTGATGTAATTGTGGCATATTGGGTGCTAAGGAGTGGCAAAGACATAAAAATCTCTTTCAGGAAACTGCATCCCACCGGGCATTTCTGGCTAGCTATTAAAAAAAAAACAACAACAACAACAAAAATCCCACACATGTCTGTCTGCTCTTAGTGCAGCCAAGGAACTTAAAACTTTCCAAAATCTTGCTATAATGTTTGTAGTTTTGTAGTAAGCTCTTTAAAACTTTTCCTAGGTTATAGGAGAGCAGGTATATATCTACATGTGTGGGTTTTGTTTGAGACTTTTCTAGCTGGCTAAGCAAAGCATCCAGTAGGGCAGAGTGTTCTTTATGTGGCATATTAAATGAGATTTTGGGGAATGAAAAACAGCATATTAAATAAATAACAGTAGGAGTAGAAAATAATGGAAAAAACAGGGTCACACACAAAATGGGGCAAAATAATACCCAGTTTGAACAGAGAAATGTGAGTTATCTGAGAGAAAAGTGCTGTTATTGTAGGAAAAGAGAAACTGTAGAAAATGGTGAAATCAGGAGTCTCTGGGCCTGATGAGCCACAGTTCAGATCACCACAATAGCAGACTTGTTTTGTGAGCTTATTTTTTTTTGCCTGTGCATTCAGAGAGAGAATGTACCAGGTCAGCAGAGTGGGAACACATTTGTGTCACACGAGTGGGAGCTCATCTGAAATCCAACCTGCAGCTCTGCCCAAGGCACTGCTGGGCACAAAGCCTGGGCTGGAGATGCAGTGCAACATGAGAGGCTCTGCCCGAGAGCTTTTTAACCAAGAAATGTGCAAATTACTCTTACAGATCAAATTATTTAATTTTTAATCAGTGAAAAAAAATTTAAAAGAACGAGTTATGTGGTTATTCAAGTGTCTCTGAAAAACTGCTTTTGCCACATAGTGGAAAGAAAGGTGGTAAGGTTGAACACACTGGTGTGGACTGGAACTTCTGAAATCTTGTGCTGCATGTGCTGCAAACAAAATAATTTGTGAAATCACAGCCCTGTAGGCAAATCATCTGAAAGAATTAATTGCATTTTTCTCTTGAATGCCTGTTGGTCAGGTGTTTTTTTGTTATGGATCTACTGCCTTTAAATGAGGCAGCAATTTCACACACCTTGGAAATGATCCGTAAAAACCAAAAAGAAGTTTCTGACAATCAGATATCATTTGGAATGGCATATTCAGATGTTCTTGAAGCCAGGCCTATTTTGCCCGAATATAGGTGGAAAGAGTCTCTGTCCATAACAAATTCTAAAAGAGAGGGAATTTCTCACTAGGAGCTCAGCTGAGTGGTTTATAGGTATTTAACACATTTTCAGCAGCTCCTTGGGCAGGTAACAGCCAGGTGTTACAACATTTCCTCACTTTGTTGCATTTACCTTACTGCCCCTCTCACAGGGTGTGGAAAAGATTGCATTTAATTTGTGTATTTAGTTTCTTTAGCAAACTAAATAATCAATATTAAAGACTTTAAACTAAAAGATTTTTTTTTGTAAATATCCTACCTCTCATTAAAACCCCTTACAACAGTAGAAAACAAAACCTAGTAAAGAAATGCAATCTTGTATTTTGGATTCAGTGGAAGCTTTGTAAAGCAGGATTTGATTTATTTAAAACAAGACAGCGCTTTAATTACCACACTGATTAACACTCCAGTGTTCTTTGCCTGCCTGCATTTTATCCAGGTGTACCTGAATAGAAAATAACTTCTTCATATGTAACTGATTCATGGCTCTGCATCCTCAAAACTTTCTGGGTCTCTCTCTGAACCCTGTTTGAAATCATGAACTCTAAAAAGGGAACGGTTTAATAGAAAAGAGGAGACAGTGACACCGAGCTTCTTGCTGTTCCCCACAGCTGCTGTGTGTGGCATTATAAAAAATTGTGTTTCTCTGCTGAGATGCCCCAAGGTGACCATAGAGGGAGTGACATTAAGGTTTCACATGATAAACAGTGTTTGCTGTGAACGAGGGGAGGAGGAGCAGGGAGAGCTTAGATGTTATTTAACAATAGAAAAAAATTCATTTAGAATGAGAAATAGCTGGATTGGGGAAGAGGATGGCATAACACTGATGATGGTGGGAGCTGGTAGGTGCAGCTAAGACACAAAATAAATGGCCAGAGGGGAAACTCAACCATTTCAGTCTCACTTGAGATAACTACTTTAAGTATAAATGGGAAATGGTAGGGAAAAAAAGAGTTGGGCATTCATAAATAGAAGTAGTAGGTGAAAATAGTAGGATGCAAAAGCAAATTGTACATTGAAACCTTAATAAACAGTGATTTCTGACTGGGGATGAATCCACAAACACCAATGTTCTGCTTTCACCCGGGGGCAGCCCAGCCTACAGGGCTTTGTTCACCTCTTCAGGGCAGTGCCAGTGTTTACAGACTGACAGAAAATGTGCATTGTGTCAGGCAGGGCCACCGCGGGGCCATAAATACCTGCGTGCTGTTGATTACACTGCTCCAGCACACTTACATTTGAGCTCAAAGCAAGCTGATATTTAGTGTAACCTGATTAATACACTTAATATTTATAGGTGTCACAGGCCTCTGCTTTGGCTGCAAAGGTTTTAGTGTGAAGCATTTCTTTGTTCTCTGAAATGTTAAAAAGGTGAGCTGGTTCAGAACAGGTTTTGAATAGGAAAGGATTCACACAAGTGCATGTTTTAAATCAAATTTTATTGAATTGATTGCTTAGCATTTCTTGTCAGGTAGATACACAATGTACACTAGAAGTGGCAGAGGTGCAACAGGAACAGAGAATTTTCTTCTGTGTGCTGATAGTTTGTTCCTTTAATCCTTTACAGTTTGGGAGAAATTAGATTGCTATTACTGTTATAGGTCCATTACTCTTACCCGTTACAGTAATTTTGCTGTATTTACCTATCAGAAGCAGCTGGTGCATTCCTAGAATAATATAATATTTATATAATAATCTCCTTGTAGCTGTCAAAAGATTACCTCTGTCATCTGACAAAATAGATTCCTGCTCAGTCTCACAACACGTCAGTCTTGCCTCTGATGAGGAGAGTTTCACCTCACTGCTCTAGATCATCTCTGTGATGCCTTTCAATAGAAGATATTCCCTTCTTTCTGATACAGTTTGTCAATCCCATGACCCATGGAAGATGGAAATCACAGTTCTTCATCATACTTCAAGCATCATATTTCATGTTTGTAACTGGTTATTTCTGAGCCTCACAGCAGTCTTGGATCAAGTAACTCATATCACTGTCAAGATCAAGAGTGGAAGATGTGTTTTATGTAGAAATAAATCTAGGCAGGCAGTTCGAATTATAGACTGAGACTAGATTTGTAGCTCAATGTGTATCAGAAAGTCCTATTAATGAAATCTTTGTTGATAATCCAGTGGTGAGCAGAGATACAAATGTGAAGAACAACAAATGCCAACAACCTTGTTCTGGTCTGTTTTTAATGCTGCACCACCTGTGGGGCTCAGTACACAAAGAAAAATCAAAATAGGATGGTTCATGTCCCTGCAAACTCACGGGTGACACTTTGATTTTCTTATCTCAGATCAGCCTCATTGTCCCAAACACGAGCTGCTTGGAATTCTCATTCCTCCCTTTTTGTGTCATTCCTTCCAGTGGGAGCTGAAGCTCCACCCATCCTTTTACTGTCAAACCGTGTCCCATAGCTCGTCACACTGCAATTAATGTGGATTAAACTCAATTAAATGTAAATTAACGTGGGTGATTCTTTGTGTGAGCTTCAGCACGAGAGGACAGTGAGGTGGTTTATTGGCCCTTTCAGTAGGGCACAGGAAACCTGGGGTGGTTGTTATCAACACCTGCATCCTGTGAAAAAAACTGCCAACAATGAGCTTTTCTTCTGCTTATAAATATATATTTATTAATACTGTCAGATCTGACTGAATATTGTAGTTGGACAATACCACAATTAAGGAATTTCAACTTAATTTTTCTGCAGATCC